TGAAATTGATGGCAGCTATAGTAAAAAAACCTGCCAATTCTGCTTCAATCCCTTGTCTTTGACGAGCCAATTTTCATGAAACCTGCATCAACATCTTTCACTTTTTATCTACATCCCTTAAAAATTTTATTTTTGTGTGTGAATTTCAGCAATACAGTTCATGGCATGAGCACCTTCATACATAGAACTGTTCCTAAACTTCCATTAAGCAGTCCACCTGAAAAGAAAAAAGCCTTACAAGAAGTTTGGCATAAAAGTAACCGATCACCGAGGAAACACCTTTTCTGGTTTTAAAGGAGAGGGACTATTTTTTCTTAGATTTAAAGGATGCAGAACAAGCAACTGCAGTTACGTGTTTACTGAACACAGAACACTGAAAGGTGGGAAAAAAAAAGTTATTTATGTACAATCATTTACAGTGTGCATAACTAATGTCTTTTAAAAATATTTTTTACTCTGAATGTTTTTAAATATCCTGGCTTCAGCTCTGGTGTCTCAGAATCCTGTTACAAAACCATATTTTACATTACCTAAACTGCCTTTCTAGTCATTGTCTGCTGTGCGTCAAATTGAAAAAAAGAATTCACAGATCTTTGAGAGGGTTATGCTCTCCAAAGACATCAGAATCAAGCAAGATTATGACAGTAAGTAAGAACAGACTTTGACAATATTTTCAGAAAAGCTGAAGAAAAACACTAGTAGTTGTTCAAGCAGTAGTAGAAGGCTTGTGGTTCTGACCATACAACTTCAACATATCAATGTCAACTGGTGCTCAAAAGCTCAGAAACTTTAACATCTAACATCAAAAAGAGAACTTCTTAGAAAAGCTTTAGATATTTGCTGACCTGGAACCTTAGAAGCTGTCCTCCCTTGCAACAAATTCTGATCTAGTAGATGGGATTCTTCCCTCAATGTATACAGAATGATGTTCTGCTATACTGCTCATAAACTAGTTCAGGGGGAAAAAAGTTCTTGTGTATTTAAATATAAATGCTTAACTGAAATAAAATTCCACAACAATAAGGACAGCGATCAAGTTATGTCCAGAAGAGGAGATACAAGGGTTCAGAATTAAGTGGTAAAGGAACTCACCCAGAAGTCATCCTCAATTACCCAAGTCTAACTTTTTAAGGCTGTTCTTTTTAAAAAACAAAACAAAACACAACACACAAGGGACTTAAGCAAGTAACTTGACTTGTAGTGAACATTAATATAACACACTGTCAATTTCCTTTCATCTATACAGTCTTGAAGATGGATACTGATGACAAAGCTATTTAGAAAATGCTCAAAGATCATATTTAGAAAATGCTCAAAGATCAAGCCTTGTATTTTGAGCAACATCCTCTGGACAACAGTCCAACACACTAGCACTTTCCTTAATTTCATATTGTTTATCAAATTACCAGGGGTTCAAATAATCAGTAAGAATATAAACCAAATGTTTGTCCAATAATTTTGCCAATTTCTTTCACAAAAAAACGGAGGGATGCATACATAAGACTCCCTATGGGGCAGAGAAAGCATGTATCTTTCATGCCTCACTCTGACCAAGAAAGAGAATTAGAGCAAGAGTATTCATAAAAGCATTAAAGTACTACAGTATTCTAACTGAATGGCAGCTGAATGTAAAAAAAAAACCAACACCCTAATGGAACTGTTAGCACAATAAAAGGCTGGGATGCATAATTTTTAAAAACCTCATCTCCAGCATCACCCCTGAAGACATAGCCCCCAGTTCTTCAAAAACACCCACTTCCACAAAAAGGTCATTTTGTTTATAACTTAGGCAGTTTGTTTTAGGTTACTATATCTATAGCAGAGATTTAGAAGGAAATGAGGCTGTGATTCACACGTTTGTGTGAATCAAGTTTAAGCCTGCTAGGGCACTGCCAATGACTGTTTTTTTGAGTGTGTATCCTTTTACCAATAAGGCTCAGACTATTACAAAGACAAACTGTCTCTTTCTTCTGTTCATCTAGGTATCTGGCTGGAAAAATATAATGGAATCAGATGTTGAAAATATTAAGGTCAAAACCAGAATAGGTTTCTGTGTACTCCAGAAAACAATGACCAGGTCTCATAAAATCATGACACTTCCGAATTCTAAGAATGAGAGGGCAAGAACAAGTATTACTTTTAACTTTTAAGAGTTACAGTGTAGGCTGATTTCTACATGTCTCTTCACAAAGAATTTAATCAATGATTACAGATTCTTTTAAGCCCTAGAAAATCTGAGGAAGATTCACCACTACCGTGCCTTGGCTATAGAAAAAAAAAAAAAAAAAAAAAAACCACACAAACCCCCAAAAAACAATCCTCCATTCACAAAAATTTTACTTTTCTCCTTAGAAGAATTTAACAACAGAACTGAAGCAAAAGGAAGCCATGAATTCAGACACAAAGAATACTTGAACTCATTTGGCTTCAGGAGATGGGCACAGAAAAATTAACATATGGGTTTCCATTTCAGATCTAATTACTTCTGAGTCTACAATCTGAACTGGTAAACTGTGCAAGTCTGGGAAAAAGTACTTCCAGGCCCACGATAAACAAGACAGCTATGGGAGGATATATTCAGAAGTAATATTGAACTGTGGATTTAGCCTACTCTACAGGTTTTTTATGCTATTTAACAAAGGCAGGCAGGCAGAAGAGAAATCTGAACACAATCCCAAGAAACTGCCTAAAACCAAAAAAACCCAAACCAAACCCCCGCTTCCACTGACCTCTATAGAGAATGGCTTGAATTATAATCCTGCATTCAGGTTGGGGGTTTTTGTTTGTTTGGGATTATTTTTCCACCAACCTCCTTTACATATTACAAAACTAATATGAAAACTCTTACAGTAGGCAACTGATACTGCAGGAACCAGGGCCACTACTCCTCGGACCACTGTTGCTTGTTAATGAGATCATTTCTGAGAAGTGATTTACGGTTCTGGATGCTCAGAGACATATCAAAAGGCCTTACTTGTATAAAATGTAAAGAATCAATTAATTTGAAAACTCTCTCACAAATGTTTAATCTTTGGTAACAAAAAACCACACACAAACAAAAACAGAAAAAAAACAAGCCAACAAACAAAAACACAAACCACAAACGCTAAATCAGCTTAAAAACGGGGGAGAAAGAAAAAAAAAAGGTGGGGAGAGAATCTGTATTTGTTAAATACATCAAACCTCCAAGTTCACATAATGGAATCAAAGTACTCTTTCTCCATTTTAAGAACCTTTAAAGGAGAAAAGAATTTCTATTTAAAGTTTGAGGCTGCTTAGACAAGGTTTTGTATTTTTTTCTTCTGAAAACTCAAAATTATACTAATTCTTATTTCCATTTTTTCCCTTTAGCTTTTCATTTTTTCCTTTGATAAACTGACTTGCATTTAGTTTCTTGAACTATAAGTTTTTCTGAAAACATATCTGGAAAATTTGGTAACATTCTGGACCTTGTCCTGGTAACAGTGCTCTCTGTCCCCCTCCCACCGCCCAAATCCAAACACACACAAACCAAACACATTTTCATTCTAGTTTCTCATTTAAGTGAAGCAAACTTCTGAAGCACTAATGCCCAGGACTGCAGAGGACAGGAAGAAAATGAAAACAAGAAGAGGGACCTCTTGCAGAGCCAGAGGGAAGTAAGAAGAGCAGGGGAGATAAACAAATATTCTTGGGTTCTAAAATGGCTATGAACGCACTACACTGCATTTTTATCTACTCCGAAAAACCATCATCTCTCCACCTTTGGTTATAGAACTGCCAGTGGAAGTGGTTCTCCTCTCTTCTGCTGCCACAAAACCGCACCTCACATTGCACTGAGTCTAGCAATTGTGCAGCTACATGGCTGATCAGTAAATTGCTCTAAGGGAAAACTACACTTTCTAAGCAGCACAGTTTCATGCTGGATTAGCTCATTCTGCAAGTGTATGAGCACTCCAACATAGAGTGTAGAACAGAAACATGTGGAGAAGGGGGGGGTTGTGCTAAGGATGTAGGATGAGGAAACACAGAACTACCCATTCCGGTAATACCTGCCATCACAGCACCCTAAACGCAAGATGAAACTGCACCCTGAATCCCAATCTTGTACTACTAGATTAAAAGGAAAGAGTCTGCTGTAAAATCTGTTGCATTATCAGCAACTATACTGCTCAGCACATAAATAAGGAAAAACTGATCAGGAACATTAAAGCAGTGAACCAGGCAACTATTTGGAAAGCCCAGCAGCACTCTGACGCCATAAAACAATTCCTCCACATCTCTGAGGAAAGAAAAAAAAAAAAACCACTATGGGGGGAGCAGAGAGAAAAAAAGAGAAAAACAAGACCTCTGAAGTGAGCCCTCCAAGGGAACTCAATGCACATTCAACATACAGAAGCATTAACTGCAATAGAAAGCATTTGAGTATGTGCCAATTCATGAAAACCCTTTCTATCTAGCATCACCAGAAATCTGATTAAAGAGCAACCACACTCACATTGCACTGATGTTCTGAGATTCTACTGCTGCGATCTCAGACTGAAGTAGCAAAGTGAAGTTTTTTGCTTTAACAATCTAAACCAGAACAGACCAAAACTCTGTCTTCCTGAATCCATACTATATTATGAAAATGGCACAGTGTTCTTCCCTGCAATGCCCAGACCCACAGATGTCTACATGTGAAAAGGCTGATGTCATACAAGAGTTAAGCTGTTTACCTTTGCTTGGTAGTTGCGATTGCTTACTTTGAAGGCAGCTGTACAAGACAAGTGCAATTTTTCATCCCATCACCCACCAACAATTTAGTGTACAGACATCTGAAAGTTGCCTCTTGTTTTATGGGATTACTCTTCTCAGATACCCAAGGTTTGTGAGTATATACAAGGTCACTACAGTCTAATGCATGCCAACAGTTTCCCTCTATAGCACAACAGATTCTTCTTTCAGTGTTCTCCCCTTATAAACAGGAAATGAGTCCAAGTATAAATGATAGATTTCTTCTTTGAAAGGGCATCACTTACCAGTAACTACCATGCTGCTCATGTTAGAGTTCGGGCTATTGAGTACACTGCCTGAAAGAAGTTCGTCAGATCCTCTCTAAAAAGAAAGAGACAGTAAGAGATTTTTTTTCCTCTATTTTGTGATTTTTAAAGATGATATTAAAAATGTCAGTTTGACAGGGAAAACCTTTAGAAGAACTTAAGCAAGCATAACCAAACCTATTCAGGTTTGGCAGACTTCCTTTTTTTAGATAAGTGCAACAACTTGAAATCTAAGTAAAGCAGTATATTTACATGGCAATCTTTGAAATGAGAGCAGCTTAAGCACAGTTGTTTGACCCACCACTGAAATGTAGCCACCTCCAGACACAATGAGAACTGCTGAAAAATAATTACATCCAGCATTTTAAGTTAAAATATTATTATATTTAGTCTATTTCAATAACAGTTAAATTAACTTATTGATTTAATATTTTAATATACATATATACTAAATTATTATATCTAGCTGAAACTACAAGGGCAATCTATACCAATAGAAATATGGAGTTTAGCTCAATTCTAATACCCCTATTTAAAAAAAAAAGACTTGTCTTCATAGGAAATGAACAATTTTCATTTTGGGGACATCCATTTGTCCTGCAAAACACAACTTAGGGCAGGGAATTACACCTTCATTGCAATTCTTAAAACATGACAAGTATCAATTAAATGGTGACTCGAAAGTGCAAAAATCAGAGGAGGGTTTACATTGAAAGCACACAAGATAATCTTTTCCTCTCAAATTATTTGCAAGACGGGCACTTGACATAGCTGAGGAAGCTTTTGCTTCTTTTCATGCATTTTTATTTTTTTCTTTTACCCCTCAACCCCTTCCATCCCTCAAGACTTCATCTCTCAAAAAGCTTCCAAAATATTTAGGTGATCTTTCACTAACAAAAATTTTTAAAAGGCAATAAACCTGACATGCTTTGAAGATTATCTTTAATTTCTTATGGGTTCTTTCTCCACTTCAAAAGTCTTTCCCCAGCACCCTTAACACTAATCCAGGTCATCGCTAAAACAGAAATGAGGAAAGACGACAGTTACTACCCATATTTATAAAAATAAATGTTTTAATTCTTTGTGGACACTACAATAGAATCTCAAAAATAGTTAGTGAATGTGTTTTACAGGGGACCTCAGTATTGCATACTAAATTAACCTGAGGATATCACCTTTCTAGGCAGCACAGTTGCAAGATACATAAAATCAAACCTTTACCATTTTATCATAATGCACTGTATGTGTGTCCATACACAGAACAGTATGTTAAAGCTTGTTTAATCCACACCCGAAACCCAGAAGCTCTTAAAAATAGTATATATGTGTATGCATACATAGAGCCACTGAAGTTTACTTAGTTTTCAACATCAGCTCTGAAGAATCTTTACACAGTTTATTCAATACTCTAAGCTCTTAAGAGTACATAGCAATCAACAAAGTTGTGCTTCTCAAATCAACAGATTTCCTTTAAAACTGAGTAATGCGTAATATCAGGATTAGGTAGGACCATGAGAAGGACCACATCTTGTCCTTCTCAATGTAGGAACAGATCTTTAATCAGATATAGCTAAGGAAAAATTTAGCCGGACAAAACTGAGAAAAAAGAGAAGTTATGGAAACTCTCTGTTAGTCAAACTTCATTGCATTCTATTGTAAATATAATACACTAACCCAGGCTCAGTATAAGTTGAAACATAAACACTCCTTTCTCTTTAGTCTTCTGTTTTTCTACCATGTTATTTACATGGGTAGAATATTGCAAAATTCGGGATTACTAGCAGGATTAGCTCACTCAGTGGTAACTGCAGTTACTTCTGACTGCACCTAGCCTTGCTTGGAAGCCCTTGTCTGTAGCCTGGACAGCTCAACTGAATAGGCAGAAGTAGAAGCAGAGTCTGAATCAGTCCATAGTCAGGCATATTAAGATAATTCAGCAGCAATTTTTTTTTTTCCCCCTTGCTATGCCAGACATTAATTTGCAACAGTACAGCAGTTACTACATAAACAGTCGAAGCATTGCCAGTACCAAATCAATGCTCTTTCCAAACCTGCAGGAACTTTACAATTCTAAATTATCTCAAATTTGAGCTGTCTTCAGCTTCGGAAAGTTACTTACATCAGCAACTGCTGACTAGCAAAACACAAGAGTGATTACATAAACTTGTGGTTCCTAGTAAATCAGACTTTCAAAAAGCTGTTAATTTCTTAATCCACAGCAGAAAAACCTAAAAGGAGCACAAATTACTCAATAGAGTGGATATTCAGTTACTGCATTTATGTTTCATGAACAGTTAAAAAAGTTTTCTCTTCACTTGGAAACATACCATTTTGCATTTCGTTAATACATTCAGTCAATCACAAGATTTTGCCATTATACTTGAAAAAGTTTTAACAGTTTTGCCTCAGAAGAAAAATTAAATGTGAATTCCTTATATTCGCATGTATCATAAATTCTATTTTTTTTTTATTCTCATAAATCAGTGTTCACAAGACTGATACACAGATGTACAGGTTTGTATGTGGAATGTTCTTCGAGTTCACCATGAAAACACAAACATACAGCAAACCTCTGCTAACTCAGTCCCATACATATTTGCCAAGCTTTTGGTAAAAGACAAAGATATCTTTTACCATGTGAGTAATCACCTTACTAAATATACATGGTTATTTTTCCTTATCTGTTCTTAAGCAGCCTAAACACCTCTGCACTTCATTCAGTATGTACTTTAAAACCAGCTATGCAGCAAAAGACACATGATGCACTTAGACACAGAGTGGTTAAATTACAAAATCAAAAGCAGTAACTGCCAGGCAATTGTCATTTACTTCAAAGGAGTTAGCTCAAGATGACAGTTGTCTAGTAAAGCAATTTAATATAAGCAGTTCAAGTAAGCCAATGCGTACTCTTAAGACTGGCACTACCATGTGACACAAGCACCTCCTGAATTACAGCATAGATATAAATACTTATTTTACTTACATTTATTCAGCAGAGATTGACTTTATTCAATTTGTGGTTTGGGGTGCTTGGCTTTGTTTTTATGTGCATCTTCTTTTAGAGGGTGCTAAGACAAAAAGGACTTGCATCTTGCTCCAAGGGCAAAGCTCTTCATCCCTCCACTCTCACACACAAATTGCAGAATTGGAAACCATTTCCCAAGCATCTTGAACATTCACTAGTCTTATTCTCAAGCACGCCAGTTCTGCTAGTCAAATCACGCAAAGCAAAGAAACCTTTAAACTAATTTAGGTAAATTCTATAAACTGCTTCAGAGATGAGGAAACTAAACTCAGATCTTTGAAGAACCTAGCAAATTAGATTCAATGAAAAATCGAAGATCCAAAAGCAATGTTCCCTTAACTCTTTTCCCCACATTTGCACACAGATGTGCAAACTGCTGTGTTCTAAAGAATCAAAGCAAGTTTGAGACTGTGTAACAACACTGAAGATCACAAACACATGGATCACAGAGATGTCCAAATCTAAGTTAAAATAACAAACGAAAAAAAAAACACAATGATTTTTACTTTGTCATAGACTGCAAAGGAAAGTTCCTATAATAGCAACATGGTAGAGACTAATTGAATATCCATTTTAGCATGAGGGAAGGAGATTATAAAGGACAAAATAAGAAGTGCAAACTGCTATTATACTATTAATAGGTCATCTTCTGACAGTTTAGTCCTCAACAGCACAAGTTTTCAATGCCATATTCCTATTCCTACTAATGTCAAGAACATTAATCTGTATTACCCTTCCATGAAAGCTAAACCACTAACTATTCAGATCAGAGATATCTAGAACATTTCTTCATGAAACTAGCATCTGCCAAAATACTGCTACACAAAATAAACAAGGGAATTGCTAAAATAACTTCTTGCAATGAGTGAACCTAAATTTGTTGCAGAGTCAATACTGTCCTTTCAATGAAGCCCATGTTATCACGCCCTTGCCCCCACAAGAGCATTTTCATAGTGGCGTGAAAACAGCATGTTAATGTATGGCTTCAACCAATGGAATTATGTAAAACTGACATGTAGGATCACTTTCAAAAAAAGATGAAAAATATACCAACTCAGACACTGAATACATATTTCAGAGAAACTTAAAAATTATATACACAAAGGTTATTTCATATACTATAAATTGAAGATACCACTTTGATATTTCAGTTACTTTCTGTAAGCGAATAGAGTTATTGCATATACTATCTCTTCTACAATTTAAAAAACACAGTTACACAAAGAAAAATCCCCTAGCTTAGCCAATTAATCTCCTAGCTCCTTGCTTTAACAGTCATAACTAACTCAGAATCCCTCACTACACCAGCTGGATTTACATAGCAGGCTTTCAGATTTTTTTTTCCCCTCATAACAGACTACTATAAAGCTTCATGCTATCACAGGTTATATTAAGTAGCTATGTAATTTCAGGAAGTCATTACAGTCATACTATCCTTTCCAGGCTAATCAAAATTACACTATTTAGAAGTCTTTGCCAACTATTTACCTCACATTCCAGATAAGGCTTTAAATATTTCAAACATTTCCCAGATTTAATTACAACCAAGGTATTAAAAAAACAAAACAGTTACGACTTTGGCTTGAGAGTTACCAAAGAGGTTTAGTCTTAAGCAAAGTACTTTTTGACAACTGTTTATGAAAGAGAAGCATTATCAGCTCTTTTCCCAATAACTCAGGGCTATGGAGACTGACCAGAAGTTATGGCTGAACCTAATAAGGACTGTATTATAGAGGGCTTATTAGAAGCATGTGTAGACGCACTACAATACTACAAGAACACTAAACCAGTACTACTAGAAAGAGTTAACAAGTGACAAAACTGCACTTTCTTAAAAAGTCAACAGCATCATCTAAAATAATTTCTTAAATTCCCACTGGAAAACATAAAGAATACATGCAAATATATTGGAAAATACGTTTTCTGATAGATCCTCTCATTTGTGGTATTCAAATTTGCCCATATTAGAAACCTCTCTCAAGAACAGGATGTTTTTGCCCCCCTCTCCCCCTTCCCACTTTCCCTGCCTC